TCGTTCCAAAAATTTTTTTTTGAACTACGAGATTCTACAATATGCACCGAAAAACTTTTGTCTAACAAGGCAAGTCTATATTCTTTCTCAAACACAGGTTTCTGGTGAGATTGTTTTCATCGGGTCGGGTCGGGTTCGGGTTAAGTTGTTGTCGGGTCGAGTCGGGCGCGGATCGGCATTTTGGCAGTCGGATCGGGTTCGGGTTAGGTTTTCTTAACTCGTGCAGGTCTCTACCATTCAGTAGCTGTAAACACCAAATTTATATTGAAATTTAATTAATCACAATTTCACCCCGAAAATTTACAGCTACTGACAAAAAATCTTCTGAAAACCACAAAAATCCTCGTATATAAATTTTATACTTCAAGCTTCCTTTTCCTTCAGAAACGGACATGTCCTACGAAGTTTTCACAAAAGGAAACATAGAAAAGGGTTTGAACAAGAGACTAGCTTCACAAAACTTGAAGAGATATGATCTGTGCTCTGAGTGGACACAGTTTATCTACTTCCGAGACGATACATCAGTCTATCTTTCTATTTTGAAAGCATTTAGTAACTTTCGTTTTGCATTCCTAAATGTATAATGAAACATGTTTAATTATCCAAAAATGTTTACATGTGTAGAAATGTCCGCCTAGAATATCAAGAGATTGATTACTACATAAAAATTTGTCTCAACTTTTAATTTAGTCTTAAAATATCTTCAGAGAATGTCTTTAATACTATGCACTTTAATCAAGTCTTTAATGTATCTAAAATAAGATCAAATATTGTAGAAGATACTCTTATGTACTATAGTGACGATAGAAAATAATTTATTGTTTTCATCTTTGAAGATCAGACATGGCGTTGTCGTTACTATCTCTTTAATCATTTTTTTCTTTTTTTTTCACGTTGAATAGAGTAGTACAGGAGTAACGCCTTTTATATTTTCATTAATTCAATATATAGATACTAATTCGAAAATAATACTATCATCTCATAGTAGTGATGATACCTATTAAAACACGTGTATAGATATATTAGTTTGTCTATATGTATTCAAACGTCTCGTCTCGTCTGTGATTTTGTTTTTAAACTGTTAATGAGTATAATGTAAAACATATTCACAATAGTATAGTAATCCATCATTTCGTTTAGTTTATATAATCACATTACATGAGTATTGTACATTTAATTTGACAATAAGAACAAGTTTCGTCTATTATATACAACACGATATCTTTAAATAATATCTAATATAAAATTTTTCATATTACATTCTTGTAATGAAACAATATTTAATTAGATGAACGTTCACTAGTTTATTCAACTTTTAGATTTCTTCACTTTGTTCATTATATTTTATCTAAAATTTGTATTATTTTACTTTTTATTTTTTGTCAAAATACAATACTTTCTTTCTCTACTAACTATATCATCATCATCATCATAAAAAATGTATTTTTTTCTCATTTCCATTCAATATTAATATCTTCAATTTTTGAGCTTGTTAATATTATTTTTTTTTCTGTTAAAAACAAATCTTTTTGATATTTGATCATCCTACGCAGACACCATAGTCAAGTTTATAATTTTATATCCGTGAGTGAGAAAAATATGAAAATAAGTCGAGTGAGAATCATATTCATTGAGCATATTTCGATAATAGTCTCTTCTCAGTTATACAACCAACTCTTCTTTTTTTTTTCTTTTTTTTTTGTTTAGAAGCAAAAAGATATAAATCAAATGTGAACGCACATATATACATTATATATATATTTTTTTGAACTTTTATTACATAGCCTATATCTTATTCAATAATCATAAAAACGAAAATCACCTATGTCATCATCGTTCATTATTTTTGTCATGCATACATAGTACATTTTTCGCGTTATCATAACAATCTGCATTTTAAAAAAGAAAAAAAAAAAAAAAAATGAAATATGCTTGCACAATACTGTAGAAAGACTACTCAATATATCACTCATCACTATACGTAATCATTTTTATTTTTATTTTTTTTAAACAAAATATAAAATTTTTATAAAAAGTAAACGGTATGACGAGAGAACAAAAAAAAATAAAAATAAAAATATATTGAACATGATAGAAGGAGGTAAAAATGATAACAATTTCCTCTTGTGCGTAATAGATACAAAAAAAAGAAAGAAAGTGAGAGAGAAAGAAAAAGAAGAAACATGTAAACGTTCATCTCATTAGAATGGTGATTTTTATGAGTTTTGTAATAACTTTTAAACGCGCGATTTTTTTTATATATATATATAATAAATAGTAGGTGAACAGTAAGTGCATTATTAAGTAAATCAAACTGTGAGTTTTATAAATAAGAAACTCATATTTATCAGGTTAAAAAATGTATGATAACCCTTTAAAATTGTAGAAAAAAAAAGACTTTTTATTCTCATTCTTTGCCTATTTTTTAGAATTAGTTCAATGCCAAATTCGCGTCGTTTATCACGTGAAAAATTTTATTCTATTCCAAATGTATCATCAGACAAATTACTCAATCACTATGGAACATTGTTAAGTACAACAACAACAGTTGAAAATTGTCCTGTTGATGACGATGATGATGATGATGATAATATGAATGAAGACGGTCTTAAAAATATGGCATTTGCACCAGATGAATTACCAATTAATCATAATCATATTATAATTAATCTTCCACGTCGGCCATCATCAACCATATCAAAACAATCATTACGTCAAAAATTTCGATTTAATCATACCATGATATATTATATAACTCAATTTCTTGTACTCATTTTTAGTATCATTTTTGCTACATTATGTTGTATAACTGTTTATCAATTTAAAGTAGAACAATTAGAAAGTTTACATCAATATAAAAAATTACAACTTTTACAAAATACAACAACAACAACAACAACAGAAACAATTCAATATCATTTAAAAAATGCAAGTGTATGCCGTTTATTTAAGACAAATTTAAATCGTTATTATAAAATACCAGCCAATTATCTTTCTCTTATTTTTATTTTATTACTCTTTTTTGTCTTATTTTTCTTTCAAAATTTACTTAAACAATGTCAAAATCGTATAGTTATTCGTTCAACAAAGAAAACATGTTATCTTTCATTTCCAATGATATTTAATCCACATTGTTATACAAATAGATTTGAATCAGCAGCCGTATTTGGATTATTAGCTCTTGAAGTATTACATATATTTGATGAATATATTATACATGCTTATCGACATCTTAATCATGGACCACTTATTGATCTAATTATACAAATTGGTATTGGACTATTATTAGGATTAAGATATTTTCCAATATTGGCCATGTTTGAACAAAAACCAGAATATAAAACAAGATTATCAAATATATTATGTTATTCATTGGCAACAATGTATTTATGGACAGAAATTATATTTAAACTTCAAAATGATATTAATTGTACTGATAAATCGATAATGAGTGATATTAAAGAAACAATAGGAAAATTAGAAAAAATGGGTATTAATCCAAAACAAATGTTATTTCATCATTTAGGTAAGATATTGTATAGTTTAGTTGTTGTTGTTGTTTTTCTTGTGAGGAGTTAAAAGGTTCATCTTGTATTTATGTGTATAAATTTTATCGGAAAAACATATTTATTCTTTATTTAGGCGATAATCGTACAACATATTTAAATGAGACAGCTCATAATTATACATCTCGTGCGAAATTATGGTATCATAATAAAATTTCAAAATTAAATTTAACGCATGATGAAGATGATGATGTTCAAATGGATATTTTACGTTTAGATCGTTCACTTGGTTTGAATAAACAAGGTATCTACTATAATACATTTCGTTATGCACCCTATTATTATTATTCAACATATTTGGCCATAAGTTTGACATTAATGTTTTTATGTGAATTTATACAATTATTTCGATCAATAACAAAACAAAAAACAATTTCAAATCAACATTCACCAAGATGGAAATATGTACAATGGAATCTATTACGAACAGAAAATTATTTTGGTAAGAGAAGAATAGAAAGAGTGAGAATGTTCATATTTCTGTAGTGTTTAGAAAAAAATTTTAAAAATTTTAATAATTATCTACTTCTTAGAAGAAAAAATATCACAACTTACGACAATTATGATGGATAAGATAATAATTAACTTGTCCAAAATGTTGAAAATTGAAATTTTTTCTTCTAAAAAGCTGATTTCTTTTTTATATTGTATTTTTATTTTTGTTTTAGAAACATCATCTGATCAACCTACTCGTTTATTTCGTTGCTTAAATTTTTTAATTCAACGTTTGAAATCTATTTATTCTATACGTCCCTATTTTCGATATTCAAAATTAATTGTTTGTATTTATGTTGCTGCTTTTACACTTATCTACTATTTTACATTTTGGATAACGGATAATACATATTGGATAACAAAAAAAATTTTATTATTTTTAAATTTATTATTATGTGGTTTAGCTGATCTAAGCAAAGATTTATGTTATAATTTGAATATGACCACAATTACAAATGATATTAATATTATTTGTATATTAACAGCTTGTGTAACATCATTACAATTATTATTTGGACTAAGACATTATCAAAAACAAATGTGTAATGCTTATAAGGGACAATTTATTGATATACCATTACCTAAACATGTGTCATCCATTGGAATAATTAGTAAATCTGTACATTATCCAGGACGATTCATTGGTAAGATAACAATTTTTCTCTAATTGAAAATGTATATTTTTACTAAATGGGAGAAGTCATTTTTATCTAAGATGGACTCAAATTTTTATCTCTTTTACTCATGACAAAAATGATACCGTGAATCTTTGAGAAAGAATCTAAAAATTTCATCTGATTGAACAGAAAAACTATTTCAAATCTACTCTTTCTTGAAAAAAATATTTAAAAATTTGACAAGTTAAAAACGATGAAAAAAATGAAAAAGAAGAAAAGATCGTGTTTAAAAAACAAAAATTTATCTTTATTTTACTGATTAACAAATTATGTTCCATTTTAGGTTCATTGGTGTACAGTTATGGTTTTCTATTTCTATTTGTTTCCATTTTATTTATTCTATCACGTTATATTTTTTATTCATTAATCATTTGGGAATATTCTGCTAAATTATTTTTACCAATGATTATTTTCTTTTTATTTCAATTACTATTTGTACGTCTTCTATGTAAATTATTATTTATTCAAAATGGACGATTATTGGCATTAAAAAATATTCGTCTCTATTATGCATTCTCTTATTTTAGCTTTTTTTTCGATTGTTTTCTTGGTTTTATTATGTGTCTATCACGAATAACAAAAGCAATTATTTGTGCACTCATTTTTTTTGCTCGTCTTGATTATAGTCCATTTGGTCGTGGTTTAGAAATGTATGATTCATCGTATGCTGCTTATGTATCATTTATGCATGTTGAAAGAATACAAATGCATCCGGTTTTAAATGTTTTTATTGATTTAGTAAGAGATCGACTATTAGAAAGACGAATGTGGAAACGAAGACAAGAATCAAAACAACAACAACAAGAGTTTACACTTGAACAATATACACGACGACAATATGTCAGATTTCGATGGGCACTAGTCTATACACTTGTAAATAATGATCATTTAAAACGTTATCGAAAACATAAACGATTTTCATATAAACAAATTCAATCAAAAACACTTGAACGATTATTTTTAAAATTAGGTTTTCATCAAATATTGCCAACAACATCGAATAAATATTGAAACAGTGAATAAATGTGTGTATGTGTGTGTGTGTGTTATAGTATTTCTCTTTAACATTTGATCTCGGTGATATTTTTTCTTTGTTTTTAAAATTTTTTATATGAAATAGATTAAGTTTTAAACTAGAAATGTATTAAATAAAAAGCAGGAGAAGATAGAAAATATTCTTTCGATTTTACGATAAAGTGAGCAAATCAATCAATTAACATTATTCAATAGAATTTCTAATTCACTTAGGTGATGGTAAAAGATGCTTACGTCTAATGAGGCTAAAATCTTCTCAGTTATCTAAGCAACATTAAACATTATTCGGTACTAATTACATCTCATAATAACAGATTCAACACTTATTCTCTTTGATTACTGTCATTTTTTTATGTCTCATTACTTTTTCATTTAACTAAAGTAAAACAAGTCCTTTATCTGCTGTTTGCTTGACTTCCTACACGATGTATTAAAACTCTTTCGAACCATTATAATATTTCACAAGAGTGTATTATATCAAGTTTGCTGCAACATAGAGTTTTGCCTCATCGATTTACTATAAGACAAAATTAAGAATTTTTTATTTCAATTTGACACATCATTCGTACATGGCATAGAAACACGATCATAAGCCGTCGATATCATTCTGTCTATGATAGAAAATATTAAAGTAGAAAAAATATGTGGATAAAGATGAATTGACTAGCAAAAAGTAGACATTTGATTTAGACGAATTTCTACAAGATTTTGAGAATTTCATACAAAGATTTGATCTGTTATATAATCAAATATTTTCTCACATATTTTAAAGATCATGAGGAAAAAAAATCAAAAAATGTTACTCAATATTTTAGACATCACTTTGTTTTATAACCTCACCTTAATGTTATGTAAGCGTAAAACGTCAGCTCTATTTGACACAAGAGTAATGTTCAACATTTAGTTGCATATACGTGATAGTAAGTCCCGTTGTTGAATATGATGGACTCTATAGTTCAAAAACACTCAGTCTATTTCAATAGTTTCAAAAATTTCTTCTTACTTCTTTTCTCTAAGCTCTAAAAAGCTTTTTACTGATACAAGGGTGAAAATGTCGGGAAAATATGTAAACGCTCAATGTCGTCCAATGTGTAAGACAATTTATTTAATAAGTACCTTTCTTCTTGATATGCTTCACTCTTAGATGATGCAACATCGAGATAACAATGACCTAGAATTCTAACGAAATATTAATTTTCTCTTGTGGTTTATTGTTCATTAGATACGTATTTAATACGCCGCTAGGCTTGACCAAATAATGAAAAGAATGAGGACACATATATCTTAATAAATGTTCAAAATAATGCTGTTGTAATAGTGTGGTCAATGTTAGTAATACAAAATGTCAAGGCTGTTTTAGTGTGCGTAGAAAAAATCAGTTCGTTTACTGTAATTAACTGAAAGAAAGATAAGTTGTACATGTACAAAACTTTCTATTTATTCACAAATGTTCGATATCTGCAAAGTGCAACTTGTAAATAAGTGATATGTGTAACATTCTGATAGTGTTGGTTAACGATGATGTAGAATGAAGAAAAGGCGGTAGTCATCAAATTATGTGAATATCATTTTTATTAAACATCTCGTTTCCTTTTCTTAGTTGTTGTTAATATCATGTTGTCATGCATGATTGAGTTTTGTGAGTTCATGTGTGTAGGTGTATTTTTATGATCATTTGATTCTAATTTTTTATCTCTCTCTCTCTTTTTCTCCTTTTAAATAGTTCAATATGGATAAAATGAGATCGAGATACATTGTGATAATTTGACTCAGAAAACTATTGCACAATCATCATGAGTTGTGTGAGTAATCGATTGTTAGATATGATATCGATTTTATATAACATGCTACAATCGAATTTTCTGTTTTTTAACTTTAGAAAATTTTGTTATTACTATGGTATCTTCTATTCTTCAATGTGAGATTCAGCTTCAGTAATAAACTTCTTGATCTTTTATATTCCGTTAGAAAAGCACCGCACAATAGTGAGAGAGGTGATAGTAATGGTAAGTGAATGTAATTTACTTTCAGGTTCGTAATACCAGCTGTCCTCTCTAGTAGATAGAGTGAAATTTTCAAAATGTAAGCTAAAAGGTAGTTCTTACATAATGTTCTTCATGACTCACTTATTAAGAATCACCATTATCACTTCTAAAGCGGTTTAAGTCTCCAAATTAAGTTGGTTACGTATTTGACAGTGGAGTCTCATGCTCTATATCCCGATCCGGATATAGCCAAAAAAACATATAGCCCGATCGGGATATAAGGTCGATTTTAAAAGGTCGAATAAAATTCATTAGAGAAAAAATGATAATACTCGCGGAAAGTTTTGGCGTCGTCATTAGAAAGAGAAGAAAAAACTATATTAGGTTCAGTTTTCCTCCTGGTTCACTCTTTTTTCCCATCAGCGACCTTTTTCTCAAACAAAAAGTTCTACTCAAAAATCGGGATATAGCAGAAGTTTCTTCCGCTATAAAAATGTTAAATATATCCTGATGGGGCTAATATCCCAATCAGGATATGGTTCTCTACTGTTTCAGTAACCCTGTATGTAGCGTTACATCGAACAATTTCACCAGTATTTGAGAAAAATTCCAAAAACAAAACCCATTATTTCTTCTATAATCTTTACAGTTTTCGAATTTAAGTCGAATTTTTTTCGAAAGATACAGGAATCTCGTAGAGTACTGTCACGTCTCCGAAATGAAATGTTCAGCAAGACTGCATGCTGTGTCATCAGCATCAGCAAGCTCATCTCACCAAGTGCTTTCTCACTTTTTCCTCAAGATATACTTTGTTATCATCGATAGTTTTTTCATATTGAGTACGAATCTGATATTCATCTATCTGTCTGAGCCCTTCTTGGATAAGTCTACGGAAACTAGATCTCTAGAGAACCGTTGGGAGCTATAAATCACATAGATATTGATACTGTCAGTTTGTAGAACACATCGAGTTACCTGTGAAAACAAGTTTTTAGAACTAACCAACCAATTTTCTTATAGTCATAAAACTTTCACATCTTAATTTAACGGGAAACCTGAACTTTTCATCTTTTTATTTCATTGAAAATTTCCCATCTGTAAGGAAACTAATCCTTAGTAATAAAAACTTGTTACATAGGTAACTTGATATGTTCTACAACCTGACAGTATCGGTATGACAGGGACAAACGAATACAAGATTCTTAATCAGCATGAGAAAATACCTATAATATAGTCTATTCGAAGTAGAAAGCAACACTGCTCACTTACCGAGGCTACCTCGTTAGTATTTTTAATTTTTCTCCAAGATTTGTAATGCCGCAAAAAATGATTTTGTTCTCGCTGAAAAAGAAATGTTTTTCGCCGTGTGGGATATCTTTCAGTAGAAAACGGATGTTGAAGATTAAAACAAAACTCCTCAGACCAGCTAAGAATTGTAATCAGACTCGGTCAGTTCAACTCTGAACAAGACAAGATAAACTTTTAGTTTGTTGCATTGTAAGGATGAAATTTTTATTTTATTCGTAGCAGTTGAATTTCGAGATATCGTAGAAAACATCCAACAACGCTTACAAAATTTTAGTTTACCAAGTAAGTAATCATCTGTTAAAATCTGATAAGACCATAATATTAACCTTACATTATAATCATTTCGATATTTGACCATTTAACTGTTCAAATAAAAATTCGCCTTGTTATTTTTTTGCAGAATGTTTACCAGACTTTTACTCTTATGCCGGTTCGTGTTACTTCATATCACCGTTCAAAACAAATTGGTTATCAGCGGCAAAGATGTGTGGCTTGAAACGTAATTCATCATTGATCTCACTGGAAAATATGGATGAATTAGAATATGTAACAAAATTAATGCAAACAAACCTTAATGAAGCCAAAAGTGCATTTATCGGATTAGTAGCAAATGAAACAGGTACTTTATTTTTTGCTATTAGTACAATCCACTATAAATATTTTATAACATTCTGATAACAGGGAAATGGGAATGGTTAGATACTCGAACATTTTGGGATAGTGTGTTTGCTCCATTCTATTATTCATATCGACCCGAGACTAGTCATTGTGGTATTATTAATTTGGTCAATGGAACAAAACCAGCATTCGAAGGACGAGATTGTAAAGACGATGAGACTTATTTTATTTGTAAATATAGTAAGAAATAATAAACCAAGTACAGATAAGATGAGACTTTTAATGAAGTAATACTATGTGATTTTTAGCACAAGATTACTGTTACTCAAAAAGTGTTTGTATACACGGTGGAAAATGTATGAACTTTGGTTTAACATTTACTTGCCGATGTAACTTTCTTTATACAGGACAAAAATGCGAAAAATGTAAGTAGATTTCATTAAATTTGAGTAACCAATACTTTTTGTTCTTTATTGACTTGTCAGAATGATCTGTGAAACACCTGTGAAATACCATTTTCAGTACAAATCGTATAGTTCTATCTGAAGTTGTCCTTAAGTGCGCACTTCTCTGATAGATCACAACAGATTCATGATGTACTAATATCAACTATCATAGCCTAAACCCATATTATTGTATAGATAATCAAACGTGCATGCATGTTTACACGAAAATCGCGTAATTTTGCGTCCGCTTCAGCAAAACTAAATAAACAAGAGAATCTAACTGCGACAATAGCTGTAGCATCCGCTTGCAGATATACGGGCGAAATTCATCAATACATCTATCTATTTCAACCAGGTGCATGCTGGTTGAAATCATGTTCTAGTTGAAGCAATCGCTACATCAAACAATTAATTGTTAAATGCATTGTCCGATTAACTGACCACAGCTAGCTGCACTCAGTTGAAGCAGATAAATAGGTTGTTTCCCACTAGCCGTCAGGAGTCACCCAGGTCGACGAAAACTGGCATTTAATTGTCCATTAACAGCCTGTTAACTGTATGCCAAAAAATAGCCTGTTAATTGTGTAAAAATCGAATGAAAATTGTCATTTAACAGCCATTACAATGACAATTTTTTGACTTTGAAATAACGGTGAAAATAATGCCAGATTATAGGCAATGTCTGAAAAATTGTCATTTTACGGACACCATTAAATGGCATTTTCGTCCATTTATTAGACCGCGTTAACTAATGCCAAATAAATGTGGCCGTTAAATGTCCGTTTTTTCTCCATTTCAAAATGACAAAAAACTGGTCATAAAATGGCATTTAACAGCCAATTTATGGTCACCAAGTCATTCACCGTTTTATTCTCCCGTCATGAATAGTATAACGGACTCTGATTTTCCTAAAATAATTTAAAGTGTTTCTCTTCTTCAATTATACGAGTTATAGAAACTTGCCTCGAGAAGTGGTCTATGGTTCTTGACTCGATGCAAGTGATAGTACCTCAGGTTGAGAAGATATTTTTTTGACATTTTCTAACGATCTAACAATTGATATTTAAATGGCAAAAAAAATGTGACCAGTAGGGTTACTGGCAGCAGTTAAATGCCTGTTATTTGACCGTTTTTTGACATTTAAAAAAATGCGAAATAAATGCATTTAAACGTTCCCAGTTATAATGGCAAAAAACGGCCTAAAAACGGGGTCAAATGTCATAAAAATGCCATTTAAATGCTTATTAACAACGTATTAAATGGCATTTAATTGGCAATTAATTACACCGTTTTCGACATCCTGGGCACTTCCTACGTCTTTTCATGTAGAAAGTGGCTCCTAACAGCTGTCTTTGACGGCTAGCGAGAAACAACCAGATAAATATATCACCAGTCTAGATGCAAGCATCCGCTGTACGATTTGTTTTCGTGAATGGACGAAAGTTCCAGTGAACTACCATTCTTACTCTTTTTGATTGTCTTATAAAAACTAAAGGAGATATCATAGAGAGCTGAAAGATATCTTTTGTAGACAAACATATGCTTTTCAAAATCCATACTCGTTCCACTCAGTTTCTTTTATATAAAGATCTCTTACGATATCTCGTTTAGTTGTTATAAGACAATCAAAGATTAGGAACGGTAACAGACTGGTGCTTCCGGAATCAGAGCTGCATAATTTTCATGTGTATGTATTTTTCAGTTAGTTCCAAGACGATTCAATCTATCGTAGCCTTGATTATAATGGGTTTTATGAGTCTATTAGTATGTATTCTGAAATTTGATATATACAGAAGATGTCATTTTTTCCGGCAAAAGTAAGATATTTGTGTCTTTATATTTCGACTATTGGTTATATATGTTTACTATAATTCTAGATACCACAAAGCGAACGATGTTGATGCGTATAGTAAGATTTCTTGAACGTTTGTTAGCTCAAGAAAATTATAAAATCCTTTCTGTTTGTAGCTGGATGGAAACCGACGAAAAAGCATATATTACCGTTCATTACAGTTAATGCAACAAATTCGGATTACAATCAGAACATATCTAAAACAAAATTGATAAATACTTGACTGTGATCGACGTAATTCATTTGATTGTATTCGCTAGGTTAAATTGATTCTGTATATGTATGTGTCTAAATTCTAATTTTGAATTGTAATACTGTAATTTAGAGCAAATTGCCGTTTAACGTCACATTATAGAAAGTGATCCATTGATCTATGATTTCCTACTTTAAAATCTTGTTGTAGTTTTATAAACGCTACGTGTTTTCTGATATTTTTATTTTCATGTATATAAAAACTAAAAATAAACTACATACAAAGAGAAAGGTTTTGGTCTCTACGGGTGCCTTCTAGAATTAAACTCTATCTTCATTTGTTTGCTTTTGTCCTAAACCAGTTTTTGTTACAAGCTGTTTAACAGCAGATTTTAACAAATATTGATTGAGTTGTGATGTTTGATAATCATTGAATTCACATGTCTTCTAACGTTTGCTTAACCATAGAATTATTTTTAATTGAACTTTTTTCATGAATAAGAAAAGGTTTGAAAATGGAAAGTATTCTGCCATTTTCTGTATAATATTTGAAAAAAAGGAGAGAGACAAATTCGATAGCGAAGATCAGCACATACGCCTCTATGAAAAGAAACTTTTAAGATCCTTTGAAAATTGGTTTTAGGATCAGGGTTAGTATTCCGAAAGTTGCCAAATAAATATTTATGTCGACAGACATCATGTGTGTGACTTTGCAGGAATTTTATTTGATTTTTTCGTTTGTTAATCTGTTTTAAAAAATGTGCACGATGTGATCTAGAGAACTATGAAAGCTAGAAAAGTTCTGGAAAAGGTAGGATATTCTCCCAACAGTGTAGATTGATCAATGCACATTTTTCTCTCAAATAAAGGTCCAGATTCGATGCCGTAAGCGTAAACCGCAAAATAAACTGCCACTACACAACCTGTTGACTGTTTAAAAACTACCTAAAAACTGTCTAGTTTATTGGCCGTTTTTAGGTCTGCAAAAATACCGTCTAATAACTATCGGTAAACGGGAAAGCCAAAACACAGACAGTTAATTATATGGTTAACGGCCCATTTACAGACACCGTTTTCAGATGGTTTCTAGACAGTTAATAGGTTGTAATGTCCTCGATTTTAATTATAGAATAAACTTAAGATACTGATGAATAATGAAACAAAGATAAGAGTATATTAGTTTGCACCACTTTTATATTTGTTTTTTCTTAAAAATAAAATAAATAGTCAGAAAAAGAGAGAG